GTAGTCACATTATCATCCCGTGGGTAAAGAAAACCATAATAAATTTTAATTTTCATATGTGTTAAGATTAAAAAGGAAAGACTTGGTTTTATATATATAGCTCTTAAACCATGCATATTTGCAAAAATACCCCCAAATATTAGTATTGACAAAATTGCCCCTAATCATCAATTGTAGAAGAAAAACATATCCCTACCCCTGTCCACAAACCAATTCATATTAAATCCTAGCTAGTCTTTAATTTCAGCTCTAAAATTCTAAATTCACTAATCTCCACATCAATAAAAATTTTGCTCTTTTAGTGGGCTTCAAAGATAAAGGTCTGACAAACATTAAAATTGGTAACCTTTTCATTTACGTTTCATAAAGACAACAAACACCAAGCATTGTGTTATCACTACACCTTATTACTTAATGATAACCTAAAACATTACAAATATTCATAGCAAATTATTGCCAATATTTAATTTTAGTCTTACAGCTCCAGATTCACTAATTTTTACATTAGGCAAAATATTATCGTTTTAGGACAAAGTTCCATCAATTTCATGGAATGAGTCGATGAAATAGGCTAGAATCAAATATGGTAAACTGCTCAATCAAAAATTCCGATTCAATAAATAAATAAAACTTATAGTTCAAAATAATATACCAGCAAATACCATTATTGCTAAGTACAAAATAGCATACTACCACCAAAAAAAGTTAATTATGATTTATAATAGAACTTACAGGATGTTACATCTCTGGTCCATTAAATTTAGGGTAATCGTCATACTCGCTCGCTGGATCATAACCTAAAACCCGTCCAAATTTCACAAACAACATATACCAAACATTATAACTAACACAATAAAAAATTATGTGAGTTAACTATTGTTGGCTAAAGATGACATCTAATAATTGCAGTAAATAATTTGTAATATGATCATAAAAACTGCAGGATATAATAGAGAAGAGACATCATATTTTACCATCATAAGTAAGGCGATGCTTAACACAGAAGGGTGTTGCTGACCGGTCCATTGGCTGGATAGCTTCATTTTTCTTATTCTCACCATTTCAATAGAGCATGCTAAATCAACTAAAAGACAAAACTTTAATTAATATCTCAATTTGACTTGCGTACTTTTATTATTTAGGAAAGGATATAACCTAAGAAATAAATAAATTTATAAGAAACCATATTAATGTTAATCACATATTTAACTAATTCGGGCCTCAGAAGCATCATGGGTCCTGGTCTTGGGCACTAAAGATAGCTTTTGCAACAAATCAATAGCATCAGTAATTAATAAAAAACCCTAAAAGAACCATAATCATTTACTCATCAAAACTCTTGCTTTTTTTTCTTATATTGCTTTGAGCACAAAATTAATAAAAACTCTACTCACTGCGTAAAGTCTCTTTCAAATTTAAACAATGATATATAATCAAAAAAATAAAAAAAAAGAAATGTCAAATCTTTCAAGAAATCATAAAACCACATCTTAGATTGAATATCTAAACATAAACTCTAAGAAAATCCTAAACCAACAAACCTCATCACAAATCTTTCAAGAATAGAACGCCCAAAACAAATCAAGATCTAAGAAGAAGTAAAAAAGAAAATAAAAAGGAAAGCATACATTCATTGCAGGAGTGACAACCAAAAATTCGAACCCTAGGAGAAAAAACAGCCGTCGCAAAAAAGTGGAGAAAACTCTTTTGATTCCATAAAAGGTGACAGCTATTTTTAGAGGTGGTGGGGGAGAATTATTTATCTGAAATTGAGGTATTCAGTAATTGGTAAAGATAGTTGTGGGTAAATATTAGTGTATAGATTAGGATGAGAATGTAATTAAATTTCTTAATTCTAATATAATCTAAATACAATTTGTTTCCTTATCTTTATACTATGTATATCTACTAAGAATTTATTAATTTCCTAGGTTAATGATGGATTAGTATTAAAAATTAAAATTTGATTAGTGATAAGATAGTTCAAACTTTATAGGGGTATTTTTGTCTACCAAAAGATTTTTCCAAACTCGTGCTTTTAAAGAGAGTATGATATGATTTTTAGAATATTGAATTCTAAAAGTGTAAAAAATTATGACGCCCCTGGGTTCACGCAAGGCTGCAGTCCTAGGTGAAACCAAGAATGTCAAACTTGCCATGCACCACACCGTGCAATAACATGTTTCACCATCACAATTCTATCACTCTAGTAGAGTCAATAACAGGTGTAGGTACAAAAAGCAAGTAAAAGATAATACAAGAGATAACTGATGAAATGATAGGGATCGAAATACTATTTCATCATCCAACATACAGAAAATACAAAGACAATGTCTGAAATGAAAATACTGAGGTTCTCAACAAGCCTCAAATACAACAAGTCTGAATGAAGGATATAAGGCATACAGCCTTTACAACATCTATAGCATAGTCCTCAAATGTATAATACCAACTACAGTGGAGCCCAAAGAAAATTATTACATAGCTAAAATGTAAAGCTGAACACTAAAGTGGTTCGCTATCAACCTGCGGCTCTCCGTGCTCCTTGCTCGTGACCTGAAAGGGGGAGGGACAACGAGCGTCAAAGCGCTAGCGAGTAACATCACAACCAACCCCAAGGGAAGAGGGCTCGTTGTTTATGAAAAATACATATAATATATAATAGATCCTAAATCATTGATCTTACAAAAGAGGGTTTTAATATTTAGAAATTCACAATACGAGAATAGGTACGTCGAGCGAAATAATCCAAACAAGGAAACCCTCATGTATATACCTTATATCTCAAATTTGTAAACTCCTAAATACCAAACCCAAGGTTCTAGTACAGTAACAATGATAGAAGAGATACAATAAACACCAGAGTATAATTACAGTGCTGAAACATAGCCCACATGAACATCATGTTGTTACTTACATGAATGTCATGTCAAAATCTACATAAGCGTAATATCAAAATCTACATAGTTATCATGTCGTGAACTGCTGTCTAATAGGCACATGCAGGGTTAAGAAGTATGTCCAATATAAGAACTAACTATTATAGTTTCCAAACTCATGGAATAAGTGGCAATTTTCCAACACGAGGACTGAGAGGGATTATAGTCCAACACGAGGACTTCTATGGATTATAGTCCAACACGAGGACTGTAAAAAATAGTAAAAGGATCGCTACGATACATGTAGTGAAATCTACTTATCAATCTCACAACCAAATCAATATATATGTCCCAAATTTATACCCTCAGGAAATCTATCATGCATGGACACATAGTGGGACTAATAACCAAGGTCAGGTGATCCAGGCAAACCCTCGAACATGAGTAAAAATACTCAAATACACAAAATAGGAAAAATACAGCAGAGAGTTCGGCGGTCGACCGATCCGGTCGACCGAGCTCTGACACGAACCTGGCGGTCGACCGTTAGGCATCTCGGTCGACCGACCAGACGTCGCGGTCAACCGGATAAATGTCGCGGTCGACCGAACAAGTGTCGCGGTCGACCGAACAAACTTGGCGGTCGACCAAAGCCCTAAAACGAGCTCAGCGGTCGACCGCACCGGTCGACCGCCAAGCGGACAGAAACCCAATCTGGGACTTTTGAAATTTTCTACGATAATACAGATCTAATGTCTCTATAAATCATACTGTAGGAAAACAATAAATTTTAAGCATGTAAACTATAGTCCCAACATTCTAAATACAGAGAAACGAGATCAAAACGTTTTGATTACAGTAAACATGATTTAACTTTTGTTTAAGCAAATTTCAGATCTAAATCTTTATAAAACCCAACATTTGAGAACTCTTGTAAACTGAAACTTTTGATTCTTACTAACCATATTGTAGAGAGTTCATTTATAAAAAAAATATCATTTTGGCTCATCAAAACCCATAAAAACTCAAAAGAAAATCATAGAAAATAGGGGTGAGGGATTGGGCGAGATGGTACTCGCCTTGGGTGTTGACGAATGCCCTAGATCTGCAGTAGGTTGATTCCCTTCGCTGGAATTCCAGAATCCCGTTGAAAATCCTCAAGAACTCCCCCAAATCACCAATGCCAGCTAGGGTTTTGAGAGGGGAGAGAAAGGGGGCTAGGGTTTGAAAACTCAGATGATGAGAGGCTCTCCTGGGTTGAGTTGGTGTATATACTAACTCCCAAACCCGACCCGAAACCCAAAAGACCAAATCAAAACCGTAAAAGAAAACAAAACCTGAAACTCTCTGTACGCTGATCGGTCGACCGCACCGGTCGACCGCGTCGGTCGACCGCTCAGCACAAAAATGCCTTCTGTAGGCATTTCACCTGCTAGCCATATACCACTCGATTTCTCTCACTTGTAAACACCTGCTGGGTTCCCAAACACTGATAAACATATATATCTTATATTTATATGGTTATTCATCACAAAAGAAAGGTTTATTACTATTTATTCACACAAATTCATTATAAAATTTCGGGGTTTTACAAAAATGTCCAATTTTTAGAATTTGCTAAATCCTCTCAATTGAAGAGGATTTTGACAAATCCCATAAATGAGTGTGCTTACCTCTCAATTGGAGAGGATTTGACAAATTCTAATTTTGTCTTTTTGTGGGAGGTAACCCCACCAAGATAACATATTCATCATATTACAAAATTTTGTCATTTGGTAATGCTGCAACTTGAGCTTGAAACAAACAAAATATTACAAATTATAGTATTCCAAATTTCAGATATACATAGTATAAATCAAATTTGAATTTTTAATACTAATTAATCCATCATTAACCTAGGAAATCAAGCAGTAAAAGGAGCAGAAGAAGAAGCAGAAAGTCGAGTTTGAGATCTAAAGAAAGTGAATTAGAGTCTGATTCGAGCCCTAGCCCTAAAAAGAGGAGTTCGAAGAAGAGCAAAAAGGTAGTTTCTTTAGAATCTGAAGGTGAAGATGCGAAGCACGCTGAAATTGATGCTAAGAAACCCGAGATTGACTGGGAAGAGCATTGGCTCTCAAAGAGATGATCGAGGCACCGAAGAAGAATGCAGCTGAAGCTGATGCTTTTGTCTGTCCGGTGCCTCTCCCTCGTGCTGAAGGCCATATTAGCTATGGTGGACCGCTGAGGCCTGGAAAAGAAGATGCTATACCTCAGAATGTGCAGCAAGGGAAGCGTATCCCTCGAAGAGGAGAGTGTAGGCATCAAAAAATGCCGATAGATATCCAAAAATCACAAGAATTGACTTCATACTGTCTTAGAAAGATTAAGACAGGTATGGACTATCTCGCCAGCGAGACAGTGTTTGCTGTCTCGCCAACGAGACAGTGTTTGCTGTCTCGCAAGCGAGACAGTGTTTGTTGTCTCACCAGTGAGACGGTTTTGAAATGGTCAAAAATTAATTAATAACTTCCACCCATGTGTCCATTAACTGCCAAGGGACGTGGAAAACATCGTGGACAAAAATCACATGAATAACTGCCAAAATAACGGAGTTTGAAATATGGGAAAGTGTTACAGCAGAAACTGCCAGGTGTAGGCGTATAAAACTGCCTATAGGTCCCTAAACACAGCTCAGTACGGTGATTCGACAAACCAACGAACCATCGGGTGACGTATCTAAACACGAACGTCAGTCCACAACACCGAAGCCAAGTGACACGCAACGAAGCGGATTAACGAAACGACGAGGTTAACGAATCGCACGCAAGCAACGAAATGCATCCATTCGCGTGCAGAATCAAGCCAACGGTTCGGGGAGTCAACGAGTCATCCAACCATAGAACGAATTCAAACACCAAGGCGGATTTACTGCCAAATCAGGATCCAGACTTCCAAATCAAAGTCCAGATCAACAACGAAATGCGAAACCAGATAACAGACACAATGGTGCCACACCCGGGCGACTCGGCCAAAGCCGAACTACCCAGGTGGCTCGGCCAAAGCCAAGCCACCAAGAAGTGGCTCGGCCATGGCCGAGCCACCCCAGTGGTGGTATTCGGCGGCCGAGCACCCAATGGTGGTCGGCGGCCCTCGAGCCACCCTAGGGTGGCTCGGAGGCGAGCCACCATGGGTGGGCTCGGCGGCCGAGCCACCCCAATTGGGTGTCCAGAGCACCCCATGCTGGCTCGGCGGCCGAGCACCCATGGGTGGCTCGGTGGCTGAGCCACCCATAGGTGGCCGGCCACCTGTGACCGACCCAGATCTGTGCCAAGGCACAGATCTGAGTGCCTATAAATAGGAGAGGTTGGTTCATTTGTCAAGGGTTGGAATATTTGACGGCGAAGCTCTGCTGGATTGAAGGCTCAAAACTTAAAAATATTAAAGCTTTGGAACTTTGAAGACTTGGACATTCAGATCTGGTGCTCAGCGATCGTCCACGTCAGAAAAGGCAGGAGTTCGAGAGATCAGATCTGAGATCTACGCGATTATACTCCGGATCAAAGCTTGGCCTTTGATCCCGAGAAGGCTACTATTTCCTTGGTGAAGTAGTACCCTCCGGTTGTTATTTCTTTCGTGAGATAACACCCGTTATACCGTGTAGATCCGACCGGATCTAGATCGCGCGGTGGTCCACGGATTAACCCCGGTGCAGGCGAAAAACCCACAAAAGTGAGTGACCATAAAACATGAGCTCGTGATTCGTTCGAAAGGAAAGTTGTAATTTTTATTTCTTTTTCTTTGATTTTGTTGTAACCGGATCTTATAAAAAGACCGGATCTTTTGTAACCAAAAAGCAATTACTTGAGAAAACAATGAATTCAATGAAGGAAACTTTCACCGCGAACAATCTGGCGACCACAGTGGGAGCCACCGATCTCGCTGCCGAGATCGTTGCGTCGCAGCCGCGGATCTCAATCCTGGTCGAGGAGGAGGTCGAGTATGAATTCGACCAGCAAAAGTTCGAGGAGTATCTTTCGTCCTCGTCCGGATCCACCTCCCCCCGTAAGTCCAAGAAGTTCTCCTTTAGGAGAAAAGTTCGTTGGTACGAAGAAGTACAGAATGCCAACGAAGCTCTCACCCCAGCTGACGCCAAAGTTGCGTCGGGTGAAGTTCCGCCGACCTCCAACCAGGTCAACCCTGTTCTCGCCGACGCCTCCACCGTTGAGGGCGTTGTGACTCTCTCGAAGAGAGCCCGCCAAAGGCGACGTCAACGCTTGGCGCGGCAACTCGCAAAGGCGATGGAGTCCACTGACAGAGTCCGCTATCACGCGGATCTGAAGAACAGGAGAGGCAAACAGCCTCAACGTCCGATGAATGGCGACTCGCAAGCGCCGCGCACTATCAGCGCAAGCACGGGCTCAAATCCAGGAAGCCCGTAGAAGGCTACAGAAGGAGGGGGCCAAAAAGCCGCCACCAATCCGCCAAGTCTGGAGGCCGAAGTCTGAAGCGGCGATTCAGACTAAGGCACAGTCAGTGCAGCCTTCGAAACAGGTTCAACCTCCGTCGAGCTGACCAAAGTCGCCGGTAATTCCAATAGCTTCTCCGGGAGATCATGCAGAATCATCCCGAAGGAAGAAATCAGTTTTGGAGCGCCTCGGCCCAATTCCCGACGAGAGAGGCAAAGCTCCAGTCCAAGAACGTTTGGGCCCGATGAAGAAGCCCCGAACGACTCAACATGCTGGGGGTCACCGCCGCCTTCAACATGACAAGGAGTTCACGGTAGCTGAACGACTCAACACGCTGGGGGTCGCCATCACCTCCAACATGACAAGGAGCTCAAGGCAGTTGTACGCATTAATTTGCGCATCGAAGTCCAGGAGCCCGCTGAGAACTCACGCCCAAAAAGGCATGTTTCGAGGCGGGTGACTCTTGAAGGCCCAAAGAAGGCAGTTCACCCTCAGAAGGAAACATTATCATCTGATGACGATAATGTTATACCTGAGAAGTCGTGCCAACACACGATAGGTCAAGCAGACGAATTGTACTATCGTGTTGGGGGTATGAGTAAAACCAGGAAGAGGAGTCCCCGAGGACTGGAAACTCAATGCCCCTGTTCCAAACTTATTCGGGCAGTATTGTCTGAGTGCAACTGCATCAAGGCCGGTCCCTGAAAGAGTTTCGGTTTTCGAAAGGCTCCAGTGCCAAAACGCCAGAACCAAGACCTAGGCGTTTCCGACGAAGAAGAAGAGTAGTCGAAGATGGAGAATTTTCGAGGGTCACCACCAATATGACCAGCAAGGGGACATCGGCACGGGATAATCTCGAGTCGATTCTGAAAGCATCCCGGCCTATAACCCGTCTGCAGTCCGGAACCATCAAGCGAGCAACCTATGGTAGGGTTCGGACAAGACGCCCTTCAGAAGATGAAGAATCTGATGCTGGCTCCGCGGTTGCATCAGATAATACGGTATCCAGCGAGGGACAACCCCGCGAGTCACTCATGATAAGTGCGGAACAAGTGGCCAAGATGCTCGAAGAATCCATGGCTAAACAACAGGAGAGCTTCAGGTTCAAAATGCAGATGGCCATGAGTATGAGAGAAATGCATGACCAACAAATCCAAGCATTGACGAACCAGCAAGGCGAGCCAAGTCGTCGTAACCCGGTTAATCTGGAAGATGAGGATACAAATGCGAATGAGACTCATAATACCAATAATCCTCCCGTCAATGCAGGGGGTGGTAATGAGAATGCTAGCGAAAACACAGGTGAAAACTTGAAGATCAAAAACCTCGAGAGCAAAATCAATACACTGATTTCCGCTCAAGAGATGAAGAAAACAGGCATTCCTTGTCCATACCCAAGAGAATGGGAATCGATCCCATATCCGGCGAGTTCAACCTAATTAACTTCACGCCGTTTAATGGGATGGGTTCACCTACCCAGCATTTGATTTACTTCAAATCGCACTTGGGAGTTATCTCTGGTAATTTGGCACTCTTCGTGGAGCCGCCTTCGATTGGTATCGCCGCCTCAAGCCAGGAAGCGTGAATAGCTGGGACGACATGGAAACTAAGTTCCTCGCTAATTTCTTTGACGACGACACCGAGATATCAATCAGAACGTTGCTCGACGAGAAACAAAAGGATGGGGAATTGGTGGACACCTTCGTCAAAAGGTTCCGGAACAAAGCGATAAACTGCCGGGACCCGATCACTGAGGAGTTTATTCTCCAGACTTGCCACAACAACCTCGCACTGGACGTGTTGGAAGCAATGGGGACAGCACCGTCCAAAACATGGAAGGATCTAAAGGTCCGAGGAGAGCAAGCCGAGCGATTCCTCAGAAGGAAGAAGGCGGAAAGAGGCCAACAGGCGACGAATGCTCCACAACAGAATTTCGTCCCACGGGGGAAAGGTAAGGCACATGCTAATGCAGTTGATGCTAATCAAACTTTCCAATTGCAACCCCAGCAACAGCCGCAGCAACAAGCGCTACAACAATCTCGGGGGTAATGGCAACAACGGCCTCAGAAGCAGAAATCTTCGGAGCCGAGGTTTCCTAAAGTGTATTCCTTCAAAGATGACGAAGTTCCTTGCATCTTTAAGTACCTATTGGAGAATAACAAAATCCAGCTGCCAGCGATCGTGGATTAAGAAGGGGCTAGCAAAGTGACGGATCCGAAGTATTACGCATACCATAGAGCGGTCCATCACCCTACCAAGTCGTGCTACCACCTCAAGGATAAGATCCAGGCGCTAATTGATGTAGGCGTCATAACCCTGAAGCCGTCCAAGAATGTCGGAGCGAACGAAGTGTTAATCAGCTTTGGATCGGTGCCCATAACATGGTTCAAACCAGAGCGCATCACCAAAGTAGGAATGAAGACAGTGAACGATGACCCACATGGACAGCGCCAAAAAGGACTTGTGCCACACACAGCCCCAAACGGCGAAATCCTCTGGGTTCATCCCGATCTCATTGAAGACGAACAGTGGGCGACTTCCTCGAGAAGAAAGGGTAAAGGTAAGTCCTGCAATGCTACATCCGCAATCTTCGAGGAGGATGGCGATGAAGCTCCTACTTTCCCGCTCTCCGAAGAAGAACAAGAAGTCTTCGCCACTAGAAGCGGAAATGAGTATCACTACAATTATCCACCACCTAGTGACCAGGGGGTGAATAAACGGGGACCAGCCAAAACTCTCACGGAGATGGGGGTGATTACGAGTCCTACACCGGGCGAAGAGGCTCGACGCCAGCCGATGAATAAACCGAAAGAGAAGAATCCCCAGGAATTTCAGAATCCGAAGCA